TCTCAGGACACAATTTAATGCAGCACCATACATAAATACACATACCCATATGGATACATGCACTTACTGTATACACGTACAGGCATAAATACATGAATACTGTACATCTATGGTGTGTATCAAAACATTCCAGCGAATAAAGAAAGAAGATACTGAGTTCTTACTGGTTTGTCATGGATGCCAAGTTGAGCCCAAGTTATAACTTCAAGTAGTTCTTCAAGAGTTCCATAACCACCTATGTTAAGCACCATAAGAATCATCAATAGTATACTACTACATTACTAATCCGAAGAAGGAAAAACCCGGAAATAAAAAATTAATGCGTGTTTTTTTTAACATTATACATATATTTAGTAAATTAATAAGTCCATATAAAATTTATAAAAATATAAATCTAGGTTTCAGAAAACAAATGGAGTTTAAATTGGAATAAGAATCAAATCACTAGGGATCGAACTATTACTTACCAAAAATTTTATCTCAACCCTAAATTTCTTTCTTTTCTGGATCTTGAGCTTGGAACTTAAATGATCTCTTGGTCACATATTATATATACCCTCATCACTGTTAGACCCAACAAGTCCAGAACTTTATATTAATTGAAGCTTAAATTGTTTAGACCCAGTTACAGGGCTACGTAAATTTATAGCCCAAAAATCTACATGGTATTTTGCACTGTAGGGAGTCTTAACTGCCAAGTAGTATAGTATAGGAACAATTGAAGAAGAAAGAAAGAGTCAACAATTCTTTTTTTTTTTTCTGATTTTGTAGAAGGGATGAATGCAGAATTTGATAGTGCAGGTTTAATAATATCACTGTCAAACAGACTTTAAAATAGTATAGAATCTGATGATGCATGTTAACCACAGAAATTTTGGCTCACTAGGCAGTAGGCACCTTATTTTCAGTGTCAGAAGCTGATAGAATCATGATAATGAAATCAAATGCTAGGGTTTTGAAGGCTGATAATGAAATCAGACAATAAGAACTCTAGTAGAGATATATGGTTACTTTCACTGTTACATGTACATATATATATATATAGGGTTTCCATAGTAGTTCTATAGTTTTTGCCTGAACAGTTCCCAAGAAAAAAGAGCTGCTTCCGGGAATCCAAATTTGAAAGGAAGCTAAAGCTCTGGGTATTATTGCTCAAATAGGACAATAGGACAAGTGAATGAGTGTGTAAGGTGATCATCTATGTCCTGAATTTTCTGCAGAAGAAAAAGTTTGTCACTTTCCTGATCTATCAACCCAATTAATATCACACAAATTTCTGAAATATTTTCAAGTTTGAACCCTTTATTTTTTCCAACTTTTATTATGTTACCCAGAAAATAATACTTGATTTTAAGTAAATATTATTGCATTTAGGAGAAGAATTCTCTTTTTAGAACAATGACAAAATGCAGACAAGACAATAACTTATTTTGAGTTGACAGAGCTCTGGTGAATTCAGGGTCATATGAAACACGGTAAGGGTTGATTCTTGTTTTAACACATCACCAAACATGGGAGA